TGGTGTGCCATAACGACGGAAGCGTTACGTTCCGCACGATCACCCACGGCGCGGAGAGACAGAGCTCCATCGATCTAACTGTCTCATCCGGTGGAGCCTCCCGCTTCGTGAACGATTGGCACACCGACGAGGACTGCATTCTGTCCACCCAGCACGTCCCCATTAAATTCAAACTCAGGGTGAGTAACACCGGTGCGAGAGGACATTTCCCCACCGTGCAACCCTGTCCTGGCCGATCCACGTATAGATATAGAATCGGCGACTCGACCAACTGGAACCGATTCAAATCACAACTAATCGGGATCAGCAACGATCTCCTCCCCGACACCGCTCCTTCGGACATCTGTGAGCTCGACGAAACGGGCCTGGACGAGTTCGCTCGAAAGCTCACCACCGTTGTTAATTTAGCCGCGGATGCTTCGTTTCCGACCCGCGGCGGGGACGGCGGTTCTACGGCGACGGTGTCGAGCGGGAGGAGGAACACTCCCTTTTGGAATTCAAAATTGGAAGCGCTCAAACGGAGTCTGATCGCGAGGAAGAGGGAGGTGCGGCGATTAACGCGCGAGGGACGGGCGGACGCCCGAGACATCGCCTCGGCCTGGGCGGATCTCGGGGATCGTACGCAGCAGTACCGGGACGCTATCAGGATCGAGGCCGCCGCGAGCTTTCGCCGCTTCTGTAGCGGCATGAGTTTAGACGAGATCTGGACCGTCACTAATCCGGTACTGCGCGCGACGGGCAGACCGGCCCCCCCACCGTCCACGGTCAGAAGAACCACCACCACCACCACCGCCACCATCGCCGCGACCACCACCGGCGCTCCTTCCCCAGTTTCGGATGCTGCCGCCGTTATTCCCTCTCTTCGCGCCAGAATAAATCAAAACATCGATGGCGACAACCGCCGTGACGGCCATACGTCGGGGAGTGCCGCCGCCGCGAGTGGATCGGACGCGGGAGTCGCGAGCAACGCCTCAGAATCGGCTCGCGTTCTTCTCGAGCACCACTACCCCGACGACGATCCTGCCGAAGACACGGACGAACAGCGCGCGCTCAGGGCCGCCTGCGAAGTCATACCCGACACCGAGAATGATTGCCCTTTTACCTATGATGAGATTCTCGAGGCAGTGGGTCAGTTCTCTCCCAAGAGGGCGCCCGGGCTGGACGGTTTGACCGCCGACATATGCGCGGTAGCTTTCCGTACCCTCCCGGACGTATTTATCAATCTTTACAACCGCTGCCTCGAAATCGGACACTATCCGCGCTGCTGGAAACTGGCTGTTGTCAAACTCATTCCCAAAGCTGCCGAGGACGAATCGATCGAGTCACCTAAGAGTAAACGACCGATCGGTTTGATTCCCGTATTCGGCAAGCTGCTTGAGAAACTCTACATAAATAGAATAAACCATCACATGGAGACTAGTTCCGCCTCGGCCCCCAATCAATACGGGTTCAAGAGGAACACGTCGACCCTTCACGCGCTGAAGGCGGCCGTTGACACGATCGAGACGGCGAGACGACGCGGCAGACCTTGCGTCGCGGTCTCACTCGACATTAAGGCCGCCTTCAACACGGCATGGTGGCCCGCCATGCTGTGCAACCTCTCGAAAGCCCGGTGCCCGGCGAATTTGTACCGCCTGGTGTGCAGCTATCTCACGGACAGGCGGGTGCTGCTCAATTACGCCGGTGCGACCGTTGAAAAGACAATGAGCAGAGGCTGCGTGCAGGGGTCGGCGTGTGGCCCTTCCATGTGGAACATGACAATCGATCCTTTGCTCAGTATGGATCTGCCGGGTGACGCTCGCCTGCAGGCGTACGCAGACGATCTCCTGCTCGTCGTTTCGGCCCGAGACACCGCTCGACTCGAGGCCGACGTGAACGCCTGCCTGGTGGAGATCGAACGTTGGGGCATTGACAATAAGCTCACCTTCGGTGCTGATAAAACGAAAGCCCTCGCGTTCTCTCCTAAGGCGGCGCGAGCCGAAATATACATGGGTGGCAGACGGGTGACCTTCTCACACCATATGAAGATCTTGGGGGTCATCATCGATAACAGGCTCAAATTCGGCGATCACGTCAGTTATGTTATCAAGAAGGCCCAAAGGCTTTATCAACGACTGAGCCTGTTCGCACGCCCCTCTTGGGGTCTCGACGTAGATATCGTCCACTATTACTTATGCGGCCGGCATCTGGGGGAGGGCCGCCCGGGTGACGAGTCATAAGAACAGACTGCTCGCCGCCCAGCGCGGCTTCGCCATTCGCGCGATTAGAGGCTACCGTACCGTTTCTACGGTGGCCGCCTGTGCGCTCGCCGGCTTCATCCCCCTCGACATCGAGGTCGCGAGGGTCGCCGAGGTGGACTCGGCCAGGACCTCACTACTATCGCCAGGTCTTGCGTCCGATCAGGGTGGTGACGGCGGCGATGGCGGAGCGGACGAACCATCCTCCGTCGCCGTCGACGACGTAGAGCCTCGGGGAATCGGCGAGCGCGTCAGACGAAGAAATGCGAGCAGAAACGCACGTCGCACCGGGACGAGGCGGGACGAGCCCGCCTTCAGTGGGGACGAACGAGCGGGAGCGAGTCCGGGAGGAATCGACGCCTCAGCCGTTGCCCCTCAGTCCCCTCTCACCGCTTCCGAAGCCACCGCCGCTGCCGCCGTTGACGTCTCTTCCTCTTCTGTGCCCGCAACCGCTGCCATTATAGAGGGAAGAGTCCCGATCGGTCGACTCGCCCATCCCGCAGCCAGAATATCACCCGATTTTAGAATTATACCCACCGAGATTAGATTGCGGCAAATAATTCCTGACGACGCGCTCGTCTTTTACACGGACGGGAGCAAAACGCCCGTTCGCGAGGGAGACTGGCGTGGAGAGACAGGGGCAGCGATCGTCATCGAAGGAGGGAGCTTCGGACACGAAGTCGCTCCCCCTCCCTCGGCGCATAAGCAACAACAACAACAACAACAACAGTCATTACATTCCACATTGCAGGCGGCGGCCCGACGCCCCGCCCACGATTCGCTCTCGAACTCTTGCGGCACTCGGGAGTATCGTTTGGGCCCGTTGTGTTCCAACTTTCAGGCCGAGGCGCTCGCCATGGAGAAAGCTTGCGGCCTGGCCACGGAGGCGGTCAGACTGGGCCGCCCTGCGTGGATTTGTTCCGACTCATTGTCTACCCTGATGGCCATACAGGATAGGAGCTCCACGCACCCCATCATTCATAACATTCATCGCGGACTGATGAGCGCCCCCGTTAACGGCCCCTCGATCAATTTGGCATGGGTGGCGGCTCACAAGGGAATCAAGGGCAACGAGCTGGCGGACGCCGCCGCTAAACGGGCGGCCAGGAACCGTCTTCTCCCTATGGAATACGAAGCCACCCCCATGTCGGCCGTCAAGGCTCGCTCAAAGAAATGGGCTATGAGAGAGTGGCGCGCCAGGTATGAGTCCGCCGCGACGGGTGCGCGCACGAGGGAGCTCTTCCCCACCCTCAGCGAGCTCCTGGCCTTTAGGAGGATACACAGAAATGATTTTCATACCACTCAGTTTCTCTCAGGGCACGGGTCGCATTTACAATACCTTGCGCGGTTCGGTATCACCGACACCGACAGATGTCCTTGCGGGGCGGGCAACATACAGACCCCCGACCACCTATGGAGAGAATGCACCCGCTTCCAAGAGCTTAGAAGAGAGTATATACAAGAGTGTAGGTTTCTCGGGGCCGACGACCCCTTTCAACTCAAATCGTTTGCTGCACTTCGCAAGGACGAGATCGCGCCCTTTCGTCGAACTCATTCGGCCGCGATCGACGTCGTCACCTCGGGACCGACGTAGATGCCGCTGCCGCCGGCGATGATCGTCATCAATCGGATCGCCCGCCGCGGCGATCGCGATGGCGACGCATAATTCAGTTTTCGGATTCTGACTCGGACGGACGGCCCCTTTCGGGCCCTACCTCGGTTGGATCCTTATCGCCTTTGCCGTCGCCGCCGCGGCCGTCGCCGCCGCCGCCGCCGCGGCTGCTGCCGCCGCTGCCGCTGCCGACGCGGCCGCTGCCGTCACTGCCGCTGCCGTCGCTGCCGCTGCCGTCGCTGCCGCTGCCGTCGCTGCCGCTGCCGCTGCCGCGGCCACTCGCTGCGTCGTCTGCGACGCTTGACGTCGGCGCATCGTCGCCGTCGCCCCCGTCGTCGTCGCCGCCGTTGCCGTCCTCTTCGACTCGACTTTCGGCTACTGGCGGTCTGCTCCTCCGCTATTTTAGCGACGCTAGGATCGGTCGTTCGTCGCGACCGAGTAAACTTCGATCGCCGTCACGGGCGGAGTCGTCGCCCGCGCCGACGTTGCGACCTGCCGCGCTGCGGTCTGAGCTGCGTGCTGCGGCGGTGGTCTCGTCGCGGCGGCCGACGCCCGCGTCGTCGCCGTCGCCGTTCAGTCGTCGCAGTTATGTTTCATCATCACCATCGTCACCGTCGTCACAGTCGACGCTGACTAGAGAGCCGACATCGTCTCGGCGCTATTCAGAGGCAGACGCATCGCCCTCATCGGACGTAGCGAGCTCGGCTGCGAGCGAACGACGATGACTATAACGACAATCGCAACAGTATCGAAGTATACGACCGAAGGTTCGCATAGAACGGACGAGCGGTCTCGACATTTTCATCAATGCGAGCCGGGTAGCAACAGTGAAGGCAACATCATCATTAGTCACACAATAGAGACGCACGCGCACGGCAAGGAACAATAGCGCTCGGCGGCGACACGTCAGAGCGATGCGACGCGCGACGTCATCCAATCACAGTTCGCCCCGTCGTGCCTCCCCACGTCGGTAGCGCGTCACGTGTCACGTACACACGCGCGCCCCGCTCCGTCCTCGCCCCCGCCGCACGTTCAGTTCACCCTTGGTACCTTTCGCGACCGAACACCGCGCGCAGTTTCTATTATAAAAAACACCAAGTTATCAATTCAGTCGGTGCGGTAGTCATCGGAACGATATCGGTCGGATAAGGATGGACGGTACGAATGACAAGTGTGTTTCGATCTTTTCGTGCAGTGACGGGATGTCGTCGTTCGAAATCGAGTGCGAGACGGAGTGCTCGGAGGCTCGCCGACTGAACGACGCCCTCGATCGTGTGGAACGCGATTCACCAGTGAGCGGCGCCGTTGTCGCCGCTATACGCGACATGATTCGCGCCACAGATAGACAACACTCGTTCTTGGCTAACGAACGAAGGACGCACGGCGAATCAGTGCGACACATCGACCGGCTCATTCGCGCCCTCAGCGACGATCTTCGTGCGGGGGCTTCGGAGTCGTCGCCGCGGTTCTCGTCGTCGTCGTCGTCGTCGTCGCCCCTCGAGGTCTCGCTCGAGCGCCGGCGGAGGCGGCGATCGCGGCCGAGACGAACGGCGCACGGGACGTTCAGTCTCGTCAAACTCGCCCTGGATGCAATGAACGGCGCCCTCTTAGACGGCGTCATAGCCACCGCTCACGCTGCTTCCGGGCGATCCGATGGCCACCACCAACACCGACATTATCGTTATCGTCATTGTCGCCGCCAACATCAACACCAACGTCACCAGCGCTGCGACAGCGGCATCGTGGTCGACGGGGTCGACGCCGCCCTCGACCTCGACTCGGATCTCGCGTGCACAATGCGGACCGCGTGCGCGGACGGCGCCGGCGCCGTCGACTCCGGTGCGGCCTCGGCCTCGGCCTCGGCTCTGGCTTCGATCTCGGCCTCGGCCTCGGCCCCTTCGGCCGCGTCTTCGACCGTCGTCGCCGCTGCCGATGTGCCTCCCGTCGCGATCGCCACCGACTCTATCGCCGACCGGAAGGAGGAAGACGACCACCATCACCATCATCAATATCACAAGATAGAGGAGGACGCCTTCGACATGAACGAGTACTTATTTCCGAGGGCGGAGGCGGCGGACTTGTCGCCGTCGTCGTTCGCGGCGGCCGGGGCCGCGACCGCGATCGCGACTGAGACACTCGAGACGCCGTGCGTGATCGATTCCGATCTCGCCACCATATTCGGACTCCCCGCTTACGGGATCGCCACTTACTATCTCACCGAGCAGGCCGCGGCCGCCGCTGCGGTCGCCGTGACGGCCACGGCCGTAGTCGCCTCCTCCTCCTCCTCTTCTGCGCACGTCTCAGTTTCGGATTCCTTCCGCTCCGCCGCCGTCGTGCTCGCGTCAGCGTCCGCGTCCGCGTCCGTGCCCGCCTTTGCATCCTTCGCGGTGGCGACGACGACGACGGTGACGGCGACGGCGACCCCCCTAGCGACATCCGCGACTCGCAGGGGCGGCGCCGTCGTCGCTTCGATCGGTTTGGACGCGCCCGCGCCCGCGCCCACGCCCCGCGAGGGCCGGCGGGCGCGCGGCGGTGGCCGGGGACGTGAAGAACAAGAATCCCAACAACAACAGCGACAACATCAACAGCGACAACAACGCGTGGACATTCCGTCGATATATCCCAGTATCACCGAGGAGTGCCGTCTGTTTGTGGAGGATGTAGAACATAAGAACTATACTCTACTCAAAAACAGACCGGGCATGAAAGTGCGACAGTGTGTTCTCTGCGGCGGTGCGCTAACACATCCCGTTAGCCGTCATTTTAGACGGGTACACCCCAATTACATCTTCGACAATCGGCACCCTCACTTCCCGAAGCCGTACTACTTTTATACGGCCGCGGTCGTAATGAGGTGCCCTGAGGAGCTGCGCCCTCCTGCCAGTGTCGCGGAAACGGTCCAAGGCTTCGAGCCTGGCTTCGCGGGCCCATGAAATGTGCACGATGACGACAACTACTCGAACGCATCGTACGGCATAGTATCGTTTCGTTCACCATCTTCTCAGCTGATTGTAAATAATTATTATTATCATCGACGAATAGTGCATCGTGCATGAGTCTGCTTCGCATTCGCATATGTAATATTGATTCATTGATTTAATCACATAGGTTAACATAGTTTTCTTTTTTGTAGTATCATATAATCACTCTTTCTATATATACATATATATGCGCGCGTCAGCGAATGAGCGACTGTCGTGTGCGTCATAATTTTTAAATTGATTCTATTTAGCTGTTTACTATTATCATGATTTGCTACGACCAAACAATTATACCTTTTATGTTGTTCATTTAAGCAAGTGAGGACTTGAACATACACACAATAATTCGTTCCTATAACATACACCAGTTCTAGTGTATGCGTAATTTAATATCAGTTTAATTTTAAGTTTAACTCTAGCTTTAGTATAATTTTAAGACAAATGACTGTCAAACAGCCATTCATTATTTAAATTTTCTTATAAACAATGTTAATATTAGCGTTTCAATTCAATATATATTATATTTGTTATTACTATTTACAAATTGTTAACCAATTGTTAATTTTTAATTTTTTTTATATACACATAGTTTCTTTTCTTTGCAATCACTGACTATTGCAGTTATCGAGCCCATATTCGGCCATTATTATTATTATTCTTATGTTTATATTCATAATCTTTAGGTAAAATTTGCATTATATTATATAATCAACGAACTATTAGGCACTTTAAAGATTATTTTCTGTTAATATTACACTGTATCACGGCCAGTTATGGCAATTGTTTTCTCTCTTTTCTTTATAGTATTCATTGTTGATTCTTATTAGAAACAGTTTATTAAACATGTTGAAATTTATCTCATTTAGTCATCGAAATACAAATCATAAGTAACAAATTTCATGTACCATCCTTGTAACTGTCATGTCTATCTTTCTTATAAGTAACAACCAATCTTAAATTGTTATGCCATTATAGTGTCATATGTTTACTCATTATGCTTACTTTGTCATGTCATTTAGTACATTAAAATCGTCCTTTTTTTTTTTATATACAATTACTTATATTCATATACATTTTTATGATTGATCTCAATTTTATATTATATTAAGAAAATTATTATATTAAGAAAACATTGTAATAGCGTTAAATCGATCACACTACGTTATACTTTCCGCCCATATCTGACAACAATTTTGTATATTATACATATAACATCAATCTTTCATGTTAAAGTCAATTCTCTTTATTTCTTAAAAAATTCAAATCTTAAAAACATTGTAAGTTGGCGTACCACTATAAGGGAAAAAAAAAAAAAAAAAAAAAAAAAAAAAAATATGCATTACTATATATTTTAGCGCAAATCGCGACTACTTATTTTATTTTATTTTATATTTTCTATTGTAAAATCAACTTGATCACTGAGCCCCATTGGGGTCACTCGAGCTCCTCTTTTTTCTCTCTTTTATCTTCTTCAATTAATTTCTACCATCTTGGGAGCCTAGACATCGACACCGGGCTGAATCGCCGGCCCGGCTTTCGTCGCGTTAATTCACCAGGACCGTCTGGTCGCCTCCGCGTCCGGCGATCGCCCCACTCCGGTGGGGCGGTCGCGTGGCGCGGGGCCGGCCATCAGCGAGCCTGGCGTTAATTAATTGATTAACCATCACACACACAGGACGACCCCTGACCCTTCTCTTCTTCTGGGATGCTAGGTGCGGACTACCAGCCGGCTTAGGCACTTCTGCGCCTTCACACTTTGTTTTCTTTCCATCTTTAGCCAGCCCTGCGGTCGTCTTGTGAGCGGCGCAGCGACGTCCACTCTTCGTGTGACCCCGCCGCCTCTTTTATTTCGGGAGGACTCCGTGATCGCCCCCCCGCGCCGCGGCCGCGGCCGTTTCGGTTGCGGGCGCGGGGCGGGGGGGCGGTTTCCGGGACCTCCTGACTTCATTTCGTTCACATTATATCTTTCTTTCGGTGTCGGTGCCCCTAGCGCCCGACGACCCCAGCCTCCTCTCTGGGCTGGGATCGGCGGACGGCGGGGACACCCTCTTTGGGACACCATATATATTTTTACTCATCTTTATATATTGTCATTATATATATTCTCATTACACCATATTGTATTTATTTTCTTTCCTATCTCGGGGGGGGAGTTCCGGGTCCATCAAGAAGTTCGCCGGTCTCCCTCCCTTCTCTTCCGCGCCTCCCCTGTTCTCAGGGGTTGGTACGATCCCCCCTCACAAGGGGGATCTAAAGCAATATTTTCAATGTTTCCTCAACTAAGACCAATACAGCAAAAGGCAAAAAAAAAACATGGGAATGCCTGCCGTAGAGCAGGATCAGACTCTGAACTGGAGGGGGCTGTGGACCGCCTCCGCGCAAAAAAGAAGGCCCCTGGCCCCGACGGGGTGCCGGGGAGAGTACTGGTGCTGGCTCTTAAATATCTGGGAGAACGGGTCAAAGAACTCTTTGACTCCTGCCTGCGATCCGGACGATTCCCTGACCAATGGAAGGAGGGTAAGCTCTGCCTCCTACAAAAAGTCGGACGCCCATTAGACTCACCGGCGGCCTATAGGCCTATCGTGTTGTTGAACGAGGTCGGCAAACTCTTTGAGCGTTTGCTTGCTGCCCGCATCATCCAGCACCTCGAGACTGAAGGCCCAAATCTGTCAGACCGGCGGTATGGATTTCGTACTGGCCGGTCCACGGTCGACGCTTGCCTCGAGCTGAAACGGTTTTCCGAAGCGGCGGTGGGGAGAGGAGAGAGGGTGTTGGCGGTATCCTTGGATATCGCCAATGCGTTCAATAGCCTTCCTTTCGCTTGTGTTCTCGAGGCGATGCGTTTTCAGTTCGTGCCTGTCTACCTCCGCATTATTGTGGAGTGCTACCTCAGAGGTTCGTTGCTCCTAACGGGGATCGAGTCGCCCGTGACGTGTGTTGTGGTGTTCCACAGGGGTCGGTCCTTGGGCCGCTCCTGTGGAATATTGGCTATAATTGGGTGTTGCGTGGACGGTTGCTGCCTCGGATGACCGTTATCTGCTACGCAGACGATACCCTAGTAGTGGCCCGAGGCAGCGACTTTGTCGACGTTCCACGCCGGGCAAGTGTCGGGACAACGATGGTGGTACAGCGAATCCGCATGCTGGGGCTGGAAGTGGCTCTCACAAAAACTGAGGCCATGTTCTTCTACGGCCCCCGATGCAGACCGCCGCCAAATACCTACATCAACGTAGACGGAGTGAGTGTGAAGGTGGGGCCTAAGATGAAGTACTTAGGTCTCACTCTGGACAGCAGATGTTAAACCCTTGATATTTGAAGCTAGGATAGTTTCATAACTATTAACTATCAATATTCCCATTGTTGTTATTATCATTTAGTAACCTTTTGACATACTAAGTTCACTTATCAATTTGTTAATAAACAGGCATCTGTTTTCCTATGGGAAACAATAATATTATGATTACATATTTTAAAAAGGGCCATCTGTTCTTAAACCCATTTCGAAGTAAACTATCTTAATTACTCTTTTACTAATATTTACAACAGACACCCTTTGTGCTCCCGCGACGTCACCATATGCCCTTGTGCTCCCACGACGTCACCATATGCCTGATTGTACTGAATATAAATAGGACGCTGTAAAATTATTAGTTAGTTCTTACTCAACCACCAACTACGAAAGATGTAGCTAGGTTTATTATAATAAATACATTTTTAAAAAGTCTTCCCGTCGTCTAAATTGTAACAGTGGCGCAGTCGGTAGGATAGCTAGGAAGTGACTTCTGGCTCATCGCGAGAAGAAGCCAGCCCCATCAGCGTACCCGTAAAGTTGCTGCATACAACCAAGGGAGCGGAAAAAATGAAAGCTGTGGTCCTGCTAATGTAAGTCCTCACATATTTCATTCCGTTAACTGATTGGGTATAACCTTCCTTGTCTTCCCATTTTTATATATTTTGTGTTTTGTTCGCGATCCTTATATTCTTATTAAAATTGAATTAAGATCGGGAAAAATGGCAACGGGAAAAAACGATAAAATTGAAATTAAAGTTGAACCCCTAATTGCAACGGGTCAATTATTAAATATAATACCAAAATTTAGTGAAAACACAAAAAATTTAAATTGTTTTATTTCGAACTGTAAAACTGCGCAAAAACTTGCCAGTCCAGTTCAAGCGCAAATATTATTACCACACGCTATAGCCCAGCTAGAGGGAAAAGCGGCGGCTTTTGCTAATAGTCGATCTTTCGACAATTTAACACATTTCTTAGATGAACTAAGTCAACACTTTAAAAAAAAACGCAACATTAGCGAATTATTATTAGCGTCTCAATATACTAGACAAAAGGGATCTATGAGTCGTTACGTTGATTCATTCAACGAAATTAGAGATGAATTGTTATCAAATGAAATTATATTGAATGATAGATATGGAGTTTTGAAAAGCGAATATGACAAAATTCTTTTGAATAATTTCCTTGTAGGTTTAGAACCTAATTATTATAATAAAATTAGATTAGAGAAACCCAGGAGCACCGAAGAAGCATTTAACTTAGCTCTTGAGGAAGAACGTTCATTGAATTACTATAATAATGTTTTAAATAAATTTTCTGAGCTAAAGGTAAATAAAAATGAAACTCAAAGCTCTAAACCGAGGCTTTCTCAGCCTTCCACCAGCGGAATAAATAACAATCGCAACAACTTCAACCGTAATAATCGTTTTTGTAGTTTTTGTAAAATTCCTGGCCATACACAAGAATATTGTAGAAAAAAGAATGCACCTGTTGCATCAACATCACGCGAAAATTTTGATAATAGACGTCGCGTAAATAATTTAAACGATGTGACGGAAGTCGAGGCCGAGCAGACGACTTCCGGCGTCGAAGCGGAAGCCCTGTTGAACCTGCTCGAGTACTCATAAATAACGTAATTTTACCAAAGCGTAATAAGTTGCTTTTTATTAGATATAAAATTGATCAAATAGAAATAAAATTATTGATTGACACAGGCGCTGCAATCTCTACAATAAATTCAACTATTTCAAATTCCTTAACAAATATAAAACTTCATAAAGAA